GTGTCTGCAAGGGAGTGCCTGAAGGTGTCAGAGCAATGAGAGTTAATTTAAGCTCAAGAGGCTGTAAGCTCTTGCTCTTGGACTTGGAGCCTGGAGTCCTGGAGATGGTTATGGCAACTGCTGGCTGTAAGCCTACCTCAGCTGGCCCTGTGCATCAGCCCCCCTATCCCACTGCTAGGAAAGCTTGCAACTCTTCAGCTTTGTTTATTTAAATGGAAAGCAAGGCACAGTATAAACTGAAGCATGTTTCTTCTGGAACAAGTAACTTTTGCCTTATGGTTTGGTAAATTGAATTTTTGTAGTTCAGCATCCATAATCTAGTTTTAAAATACATGCTGGTTCAGTAACACAGACCTCTTTAAATGGATTTTATTTAGCCTTTGTTACACTAATGACAAACAGAATAGTAATGAGGTCAATATTGTTCCTAATCCAAGTAAGAAACTATTATTAAGAAGGTTATTATTATTATAATTATCAATTTATTGTTAAATGATTTCTTATTACAGATCCCAATAAAGATAAGGGTTCTGTCAAACTAGATCACAATTAACATAAGATGTCTGCTCTGAGAGGTTTTAGTTTAAATGCCTCTTCTTGCTTGAATAGGCATTTAAGAGGATTAATCAACAGGTTTTTAAGTGACTTCTTTGTAAGCTTTGCAGAATTGACCCCGCAGCAAGAAAACCTTGCAAGATGTTGTGGGATTATTGTGCAAGAACACACTCACACTTGAAATTTTCAAAACTAGTTAAGTCTTACTTTCATGGGCGACTTTGGCACTTAGGATTATCATTGTCAACTTTGCTGAGCCGTCCTCACACTGTGCAGATGCATGAGTTGCTTATTGCCCAGAGGGGCTGTGCTTACAGTATGAAAATAAGAGAGTCATACTGGTTTAGCAAGTTACTGCTTAGCCAAGTTGTGTGCATTTCCATAGCCCATCCCAGAGCAATGCAGAATACCTTATTAGCTTGTGTAAGTGTTGTTGGCTTTTTCTTCTCTAATTTTTAGTGTCCCGCTCCATAAAATGATATAATATTGTGACAGCACTGTGATACATGGAAAGTATTTATCAAGATCTCCACAGTCTGGTGGTGATTCTGCCCTTCCCTTAAATTCTTCACCTCCTTTAGCATCTTGAGGTGACAGACTGAGGCTTTCCTAAGGTGCTGTATTTTTTAAAATTAAAAATAGTTAATTTGGAGTCTGAGAAAGATCTGTATCTGTCAAACAAAACACTATCCTTTTTTGGTCCTGCACTGTATAGTTTGCTCAGAAACCCACAAGCGTTTTGGAGAGGACTTTCAGCTTTACCTTCCTTGGCAGGAAGAACCTTTACCTATCTATCTGTCTGTCAATATTACCTAGAACAACGACAAGACTAACTCAGCAGAAAAACACTTTTGTTTATATTATTTTATAAGGGGCACCATGAGGTAGCCCCTCTCAAGAGTAGAGTTCCTGAAACCTAGTTACTTTCAAACCTTTTTGAAATAAACCTCCAGAATTGGTTTTCTTGGTGTTTTTTGTGTGAAATAATAGAAAATTTTGTAATCATGGCAATATATGTCCAGGTTATACATGTCCTAGCAGAGCAAGGGTTTAGGTGGGTCTTCTAGTTAAGATCCTGTTGATAGCTACTCCAAGTGCTGAGTTAAGAGTCTAAGATGATACAGGTTTTAATACTGGTGTCATTCAGCATGTGCCTGTCGTTCCAGCCCTCCTCAGTGAGGGCAGGGAGGAGAGAAACTTCGTGGTTTCAGTGCATGCTTCCAGTGAGAACTGAAAATCCTGAGATTTTTCTTCCAGCTGACTCTACTGCCTGATATTTGAAATGTAAACTTGCATAATGAAGAAATACCCTAATTCAGGAAAACAAAAATGTTCTCAGAAATAAGTGTAAAAATTGTTCTTAAGGCTCACTGCGTTGGTTATTTTTACAAGGCTCAGGAACTGCCATCTTTTGCACTTAGCTTTCTTCATCCTCATTTTTAAAATTGCAGCATGTCCCACCTTGGTGCTGCTGGGAGATCTGAGGTATTTTTACAGTAATTCCCTTGTAGTCTTGAGTTGCAGACTGAAAGGTCAAAGGCAAGGCAGGATGAAGAATAAATGTGTCTGGTGGCAGTGGTGCGAGGAGTCAAAGTTTTATCAAAGAATGACATTTGCTTTTGGATTGCAAGGCCAAGGGACCTAGGCTTGCTGTGCCAGCAGCATGCTCAGCTGCCTTGGAGGAGACTGCGCAGAAATGCTGCCATTTCTACCTATTGGGGAATCAGTGTAGGCATCCATTCCTCTTTCCTATCAGGCATTTGGAGGCATTATTCACTAGTCACCACTTACTGAGTTTTTGTTCACAGTTTATAGCATCTTCTCCCTGGGGTACGTGGTGCCTGGAAGGTCCAGAAACCTGTGTTAATAAAGCAGAGATGTAGTGGGATGGAATAAAGACAACATTGTTTTGTATGCAAGAAAACATTGCCCTATCAGATTCTTCCTCATTTTTCCATCAATGCTGTCATCCTGGCTTGTTTCACCAAACCTTCTGGCGCTGTTCCCGTGGCTCCCTCGGGGGAGCAGGATGAGATGTATGCATGATAGAGAAGTGAGGGGCTGTGAAGACATGGCCAGCTGGCAGCATCTAGCGCAGGGCCCAGCTCAGGCACGGAGCTGTAACAGCACAGCGATGGGAGACCATGGCTCCCACCGTGCATTCAGCCAGGCTCCCTGGGTGGTGGCTTGAGAAAGCAGCGCTGCCTTCATTCGTCGAGGAGGGAGTAGAAGGGCAGGAGTTCTTCTTACTGGTTTTTAGATTTCAATTTTTATTTCTTAGATTGCTTCTGGGGAAGGATGTGTTTCTCTTCAAAGCTGTTCTCCCTAATAAGTTCTTGTTTGGGGTTCAGCTGGTGAAAATGATTGAGATGGCATATGTGTATGGAGCTTGTGCCTGTAAGGGTGGTTTCCCTGCTTACCTGAGCTAGCAGCTTTATTAACCCTGCCATAAGTCATTCTGACAGACCCGGTTCCTAGATGGCTGCTGAGATTTGAGTTCTTTGTGTCAGCTTTTTAAGTGTAGAGAAGGGAGGAAAGAAATTCCTCCATTCAGGCATAAGGCTATATCCCATAGTTTTGGAAGGGACCCATGGAGATGTTAAGAAAGTTTTTGACTCAGGTAAAAGCACTTCCAGCCTCTGAGAGGCACATGCTATGTCTCCAAAACTCTGGAGAGGCTCAGAAACATTTGATCCCACCTGTATGAGGGGGCTGTGTCTTAACAGAGCCGGGGAAGCTGTCATACAACTGTTTTGAAACTGAGTCTCGCTGCATGCTAACTCTCTGTTGGGTAGGAGACTCCTTATTCATGCAGAAAATTATCCCAAGGAGAGAAAACCTGGTAACAGGGAAATACTATTCATTGTGAAATCACTTGTTGGGCTTTTTATGCTCCCTACGTTTCCTTGGTGGATGTGTTCCTGACAGGCGTGTGGCTGGTGGCCTCAGTAACATGCCTGCTCTAGGAGAGCTGCCCTCATGCCCAGAGGGTTTTGCCGGCACACTGGAGCCCTGGCCTGGGTGCAGCCATCCATGTTACTTCAGCCCCAGACCTCTCCAGAGAGCCAGGCTGCCAATTGTGTCAAGTTGTTGGTTGACACCGTGACATGAATGAGTGCACTTGGGGAATTTAAGACGGGGCTGACAAACTCTACTTTGTGTTCCAGGCACGATCTTGACTCTCAGGAGGAGAATTGTTAGCGAGTTTGTTGGCTGCAAATATATATATACACACACACACACACACATTTCCCAAACATCATTTGGCTGTCAGCCTCATAAATGCCACCATTCTGGGAGTGAGCCCTCCTGTGTCAGCTGTTTCACCTCTACCTCTACAAAACTTAGTGAGCACACTTTATCCAGTTTTCTCCTCTGGGATTCTGAAAGATGCTGAATGCTGCAGAGCCCCTAATGAACTTCTCCTGTATTAATGCCATCTCAGTTTCTAACTCCGTCTTCCTTTCCAGAAACGCGAAGGCCTCCTTCAGACCACTCATGTTACAGAGGAGCTGACGACTACAAGAGAAAGAAAAAGCCACTGTAGCTTCGGAGTGTGTCTGTGGTGCATGATGTGAGACCATTTACAAAGATGAAAAAGAGACTTAATCTTCCCCCTGCCCCTGCTAAATTAACAAAATCCCTTAATGTGGTGCTTTTTTAACTATATGGAAATAACTTGGTCTCTGGAAATATGTTATAAAGGAGAAAAGTGTCGTCTTGACATTCTTGTGTTACAGAAGCTTTTAACCGAATAGTTCATTGAAAGTGACCTTTGTGGGCCTTTTTTTTCCCCCCTGCCTTCTGGAGGTAGCCATATATAACTAATTTCTGCCCAGTGCTGTTGCCTGTCTCAAGTGAAGGGCCAATGCAGATATTTTGGGGAAGAATTAGTTTGACAAAAGGCAATTCTATGAAATACCTCTCAAAACTCAAGTGATACCCTGTTAAAATTGTAAGGAGAGATGATCTCTGTTTTCAATAGTGCCTCAGGACTAGAGCTCAGCAAAAATAAATTAAATAAATAAACCTCTTCCCTCTCCAGTTTTTGCAACAAATTACTTTGCTTTATGTTTTTACAGTCCTTTTTGTAAGAAGAAGGCCAGACATGCACTTTGGCTGCATATAAAAGCTGAGATTTTCCTTCACGTGGCCTGAAGGCAACTCTTCTAAGAGGGGCTTACATGAGCCCTCCTTCAGTTTATCAGTGTATTGGCTCCCTGTAGAGTTGGCTCAGCTTTCCATGACTTTGAAGATAAATGAAGTACCATGTGGCTAGCTCAGTGGGGAAGATCTTTCAGACGGAAACGCTCAAAAATGAGATCATAACACCTCTGTGTGGACATTAAAGATCTCATAGTGTTTTTTGTAGGATCAGAGCTCTGCCTCAAGTTTGTGGGCCAAAATTCCTCCCCTCACTCCTATGCTCTTGAACAATGTAGTTAGCTTGTCCTCTCCTTCAGATGTGGTTTGTAAGATGTAATCTGCGGAGTGGGGTTTAGACATTTTTTAGCAAGAAAGATGTTTACAGATTTGCATGTGTGTTTAGACATGTATTTTATTAAGTTATTTAATATTACACAATATTAAGAGGTTTACTGTTTAATGTGTTGCATACCCAGATATAAGTGTAACTATGGAAAATGCAGTGATCAGCAGAATCCAACATTCATTGAATACTTTCAAATTCCTCTGTGCAAATCAGGGCCTGATTCTCAGCTGATAAACATCTGCATATGTCTGGTGATATCACTGGCTGTGTATATAATTCATATGTGGCAGTTTTATTTACATATTATCCAGATATGATGTATGTTTTCTTTCTTCAGAGAAAACAGATTAAAGTGAGATATATAGCCTTGCTCCTTCTGAGCTGTGTGGTGAAGCGTCTGATGACTATTATTTGTGGAAACTGTACACAGAAGTACATTTGTTCATTCACTCTTCATCATAAAAATAGTTATGCATAAGAAATCATAATTATGTGTAAGACAGAATTACACATTTCCATTCATTTCAAATGTATCTCCCTGACATCATTGATGGTCTGCTGGGGACATTCCTACAGCACGTTGGGTCTGGTCTGCGACATGCTCAGCCTCCTGACTTGGTAGGAGTGGTTAGCCCTCTGCCTCTTGCAGGAAGAGGCCTATTAAGCCCATGGTCTTGTCTTTTCAAAGTGATTATTCATGAACTAACCCAATATTTTTGAATGCTCTGACTTGCAGGATGATGATGGGAAGATTTGGTAAGTAACAAAGTTGACTCTGAAATTTTTTTTTATTTATGTCAGGCACAGAAATCTTGTCTGTTTTCCTTCAGCAGATCAAGACAATGGATTGAGCAATTCTGCAGGGTTGGAATGTATTGCGGGGGCAGGTTTTGTTACTCCACACAGATGGACCATAATGGGTAGAACCAGATCATCCAGTATACTGCTTGTGCTCTTTAGACTGGTCTCTGTTGATTTGTTTTCATTTGTAAGGAATGAATAGTGAAAATGCTGCACAGAGCAGTATTTCCTAGTACTGTTGTTAAGTGGCTTTCAAGTAAAAATCTTTGCAACCCCCAGCAATAAGACTTACACCTTCTTCATAATGTGACCACTTAATTTATATATAAATGAATACATGAAAATGACTGAAGCAAAGGTGTATGGTACGAGGTCTAAGAAAGCTCTGTTTATCTGTGCACTTTCAGCGACCAGTCAGCCCTCTCTAATTCCTTTGCATGGAGTATCTTATCTCCTCCATGTTCACTAGATTTTAGAGTTTAGACCTTACCAACCGTAGATCTGGTCTTCTAAACAAAAACCAATTTTTTTGGTGTTGCTGATGAGAGACTTCTCTTTTTGCATTTAGTTTTGTTAGTGGCATTAAGCCCCTTCTCACCGAAGAGATGTGGGCTCCTGTAAAGGACTGCGTGTGATGAAGAACAAGTCATTTAGTTTCTCTATTCCCCAGTTATAGTATGTGAACACTACTGTTTCTCCTCTTGCAGAGTATCTACATTAATAATTAATAAGGTTCTCGGAAAATAAGTAATATCAGGGGGCTATAGGGGCTAAATAACATATCTTCAGATACCAAAGGAATTTGGATAATAAATATGTTTGTTTATTTAAAAATAGAAAACTATTAAAATGTGTTCTGTAAATAAAAAGAATTTGAACTTGGAGAAACTGTTAAAAACTATGTTGACAATTTTGACAGCTTAAAACCTGCACACTTTTCCAGCATTTCTTATGCCTTTTTTTTTTAAAATGCAACTGCAATTGGTTAGATTTCTGATTTTTTCTTGTTTTACCTGATGATGATGGTTGTCATCCAAAAAACTCAGAGTTTGGAAAATTTCAGTCAGCCCAAAGCTGCCACAATGTGAAATGTTGCACTAATATAGTCAATTTAGTAGATTTTAGATTGGATTAGATATTGTTATACAAAGCTTTGAAGGTCTAAACATAATTTAAATCTTCATACTGTATGTAAGCTTTGCTTTTCATACACTGTTGAACCGGATTTCACTCGTGTTCAGTTTTAAGCTTTACTGAAGTCAGGGGTACTACCAGTAATTTTAAATTAACCAACTGAATATCTGATTTTCACGCTGAGCAGAGGATGCAACCATAGCTATCACTGCAGCTGTAGTGCACCAAAACCACGTGATGGTTCAGTGGCTCATTGTTTAAGCCAGGATTGGGGCATAGTCAAAATTTCGGTTTCATTTTAATTTTTCTTCCACCTACATATTTTGTGTACCAATTATGAATGGCAGAAAAGGGAAATCAGTGAATGATGTGTTTATTTTCAGTTCTCTCTAAAATTCCCAGGGGAGTTCGCTCTGGCATTTAGTTCGACACCAAAATAGGGTGATAATTTTTAGCTTGAGTCTCTGTTACGTGGCTTTCTGAGAAAGACCTTTAAGCTTGGACACATAACCTGCTTCCCATACTTGTCTGTTGGAAGTGTATTGATTTTTTTTTTCCCCCCCCTAAAACCAGAGCGTGATGCCTTTGACACACTTTTTGATCATGCACCAGACAAACTCAGCGTAGTCAAAAAGGTAAAAAATAAAATTCAAGTTTTATTTTCTACATTGCTTTTTTCTTATGCTTTTGGAAAGATATCCAGAAAGATCTGGAAAATAGCAGAAGAGGATTCTGAAATAGTGAAAAGGATGTTTATCCTCCAAAGATCACTGTTTCAAAGCCAGGTGATACCTGGATTCTTTGGCTTCGGTCAGGCTTGTCTCATTACTCTGGTTTATTGGCCAAGGCTTTTCTAGGTAGCACTGCTAGATTCAATCAAAATGATGCAGGTTAGGAAAAGCTACTCTGCAAAGTATTCGCAGTGGTACAGATCATTCTGACTGGACAATCGTACACGCTTTTACGTCCCAGGTGCTGTCCTCCAGCGAGGAGGGGCTGGGCTGTAGCCTAATGAGTGGCTGGTGGTGGTGACCCCTTCACTAGGCTCAACAGCAGCTGGAGTCGTGCGTGTGTCTTCAGCCTCAGTCTCCCCAAGAAGCACTCGCTGTTTGGTTTTCAACTCATTCTTGTACTAAAGATGATCTTCCACAACTGGAAGATGTTTTCCACAGTACCCTGAAATGTGATTCACCCATAAATAAGTTTGCTAAATATAAAGCTTTTACAGAAGGGTTGCTTTTGTCCCAGGGCTCTTCTACTTAACACTAATTCATATGGTCCTTTGGTCTCTCCTCCAAGGCTGAGCATCATCGCAAAGCACACCTATCTAGACATATTCTTGACATGGCTCTTTGTGCTAGGCAGAGTGGAGGGGTAAAGTAGCTGTTGATCTCCGCCAGCTCTTGTTAGTTTTAGAGAACACATAAGTAAGAGATACCATGTTGTTCCATCAGCTAGTTCCAACATGACTGTTAAGCTATTTATTAGGACAGTGTTGTGGTTTAACCCCAGCCAGCAGCTAAGCACCACACAGCTGCTCACTCCACCATCGCCAGTGGGATGGGGGAGAGAATCGGAAGGGTAAAAGTGAGAAAACTCGTGGGTTGAGATAAAGACAGTTTAATAGGTAAAGCAAAAGCCACGCACGCAAGCAAAGCAAAACAAGGCATTCATTCACTGCTTCCCATCGGCAGGCAGGTGTTCAGCCATCTCCAGGAGAGCAGGGCTCCATCACGTGTAACAGTTACTTGGGAAGACAAACGCCATCACTCCAAACGTCCCCCCCTTCCTTCTTCTTCCCCCAGCTTTATATGCTGAGCATGATGTCACATGGTGTGGAATATGCCTTTGGTCAGTTGGGGTCAGCTGTCCTGGCTGTGCCCCCTCCCAGCTTCCTATGCACCTCCAGCCTGCTCACTGGTGGGGTGGGGTGAGGAGCAGAAAAGGCCTTGACTCTGTGTCAGCACTGCTCAGCAGTAACGAAAACATCCCTGTGTTATCAACACTGTTTTCAGCACAAATCCAAAACATAGCCCCATACTAGCTACTAGGAAGAAAACTAACTCTACCCCAGCCAAAACCAGCACATTCTAACAACTAAAACATCAGAGTGTTATCAACATTATTCTCCTCCTAAATCCAAAACACAGCACTATACCAGCTACTAGGAAGAAAACTAACTCTACCCCAGCCAAAACCAGCACAAACACTAGTATGCAAAGATCAGTGTTGTAATTTGTCCCTTTGCTTCGTATGAAACGATGTATGCATTTAAAATAATGCTTTGAAGTCTCTGGAAGATTTTATCTTTCCCGTCTGAAATGTCTTCTAGAAGAGTGTTTTTAAAGTTGATAGAGAATTAAGTTAACTCTGTCCATGCAATGAAAGTGTTAACACCCAACTCTGTGTCCCTTTTGGAAGTGTTTTAAGGAGGCTGGCAGATGTCTGTGCTCCAATACATTAGCACGTATCTGGCTCATAGTAGCATGTCTGCTTCCTGCAGGAATAGAAATGCCAAACTTGGGTAACATCCTGACTAATTTGCTAATTGATATGCACACATCACTCCAGGAACAGAGGTGTGTGCAGAACAGTGTACTGTTGGCATCTTCTCTTGGGAGTCTTAGCTCAGTGCTGCTGATGCCTTGCTCCCAGGCAGTGGATCTTCTCCAAGAACCTGAAGAGATTAGTGTGGACAATAAATGCACCTACTGCTTGCTTCATCTTCACAAAGAACCTACAAAAGAACCAATGGCATCACAGCTTTTTCCCAGGACACTAAAGTATGCTTTATGTGCTAGGAAAAATAACTAGTAAGCTGTATGTAATAGCACCATCTGGTGACTTCTGGCATATGGTGCAACAAAAGTGACTATACGACTGAGTTGTTTTTGGTTTTATGTACTTATTTATGCAAAAGCAAATAGCACACATGGATATTTATTAAGCTTAAAAAAAAGTCTTAAAAGATTATGTTAACCCTTTCACATGGGCACTGACTGTAGTGTATAACATCACTGGTTCTGGTGTTTTCTTTTATAGTCTCTGATCACCTTTGTGAACAAACACTTGAATAAACTGAATTTGGAAGTAACGGAGTTAGAAACCCAGGTAGGAGACTTTGTCTTTTTGTATGTAACTAACTGTGTAAATTGCAAATCTAGGCCCTCACTCCATAAAACCTTATTATAGAACTGTTTATCTTTGGGCCTGTTAATTTATGGGATCAGGGCTCTGTCTGTTAAGTAGCGATGACATTCGCTGATGCTTGCTTCCTTTACTCGTGTTTACATGTACTTCATATCGCTGTTGATTTGTATTATAAGGTGAAATTCTTGGATATTTAATAGGGTCATATTAATGACTGTAGAATATGGCTGGATTTCAGGGCAGCTTGTCTCTCGGATCAAAGTGGAGTGCTGCAAAGCAGTTGCTGTAGTTATGGGTGGGTGGTGGGTTGTGTCTTTTCTAGCTGTGAGGGTTCATGATGAACTGGTATAAGCTCTTAATAGCTGGCTGCCTGGGGCTCCCAGGAGGAGCGTGGACTGCAGTGTGCAGTTCATCATAGAGATATCAGTGCTAGCTTTGATCACATCAAAGTGGGACTGGAAACAATTTTGCTGTTGCAGCAAAGGCCTTCATATCCTCCTCTTTACCCTGCTATCTTGTGAGCACATGCACTGTGCTTGCTTCTCAGCAGTGTGGATTAATGACTCAGAGCTCCTGTACTGCAGTGGCTTGACTGCCAGTTGTATCCAGGTTAGTTTGTTTAAAGCTAGCAGAGGTGTCTGTCAACCACCACTGTCTGCTCTGAGGAGTTCTCTGTATTTAGCACAGAACTGGGTACCGAGTATGCTTGGAAACCTTAAGTAAGTGTGAATTTCAGCATCAGTGGGGTAGTTCTCACTTTATGGATAAAATTAAGCAATTTTCAGGCAGGGCTTGGCTAAGCAGAAGCAGATATTCTTTCCAGAGTTCACTGAACTCTGGAGAGACAGTTATCTTATTGTCACAGCAAAAAAAAAAAAAATGGAATCTAGAGAATTATACCAAGAATATGGATAATTGGTTTGAGCCTGGCTTAGTTTAATACCAGTCATTCACTGCTATTTTGTAGCTTTGCTGAAATAAATGGGTGACTGGATCTGATCTGTCACAAGAAATTGTTGCTTAATGCCTTGGAAGTACCCAACAATTTATTTTTGAAAAGGTTAGAGGATGTCACATAACGCCATAGCAGGATTACAAGTGAGAAGTCTGATAGAGATATATATATCACATTACTCCCCTTAGCCAGTAAGTAGTTGTCCTATGTGGTAGGAATACTGAATAGTATTGCTGAAAGTATTTAGTATATTATTTAGTATTTACTGAAACTGGAAACAATCTATTTTGACTTGGAAAAAAAAAATTATTTTGTGAAGTTAAACTTCCTACCTGTGACAGGGGGGACAATTTCAAGTTCTGATTGAGGGCAGAGATTTGAATGTCCAACACACACGACTTAAGAGGGATTGTGGTTGAAATGACCAGGTACTGTAGTAGTAGGACTGGGAGTGTATCATGTGCAAACATGTTTCCCAGGAAGTCTTTTTTTTTTTTAAATCGAAAAAGCTTTGTTAAATACTGTAGTGAAGTTGGCAAGATTCCTCAAGTGAATAAAATGAATGTGAGGAAAAGCAAGAACAGACATACATACTCTAACCTCACCCCAAAGTATGCAGTAGCCTAGTATATAGGTATCTAACTGGAGATAAAGATGATCTTGGTTTCAGTCCCTGCCTATTCAGACCAAATACTCTGCACAGCTAAGGAATACAAATTGTGGATAACTCCCAGGTGAATTGCTTTTAATTTCTTCTGCTTAGAGCTATTTACTGTATGTAAGTAATTTAAATAGTCATTGGCACATGATCTTGCATGTGTTAATGCTATAGCAATAGCTGATGGGCTTCCTTGTTTTGCTCAGGAAATGAGAGTAGGAGAAATAATGCTACCAGATGTAGGGAGAAAGCCTTGTATCCTGTGTTTTTTTCTTTTCTTTAGAGAACTGACAAGAAAGCAGCTATATCAAGAGGCTCTTAAGAAACGACTTATTTAGCTTGCTTAGCTGCACTGGTGATTGCAAAGGTATAGGTGAATCCAGGGAGCAGGTGAAACAAAGCCCTAAATGCTTGTTACACTTGCTGTCAATTCCTTGCTATGCCTGAAAGGAGCAGTCTGTGACTCCTGAAGCATCTTACACTTCTGTGCTAGCAAACAACAGTGGTAGAAATCAAAGTACATAATTTAGGCCAAGCATTCTTTGTTCTGCTTGTTTATGAATGCTTATTTGAAAACAGATGCTTTCACGTAGGAATGTCATCAGTATTTCTATTTAGTTTGCAGATGGTGTTTACTTGGTTTTGCTCATGGGTCTCCTTGAAGACTATTTTGTTCCACTTCACAACTTCTACTTAACACCTGAAAGTTTTGATCAAAAGGTGGGTAGAAACTCCAGGTTATATTCTTTTTGCTTTGTTACTACATGGCATTTTCCAATCATTGTGTCCTTTCTTTTTGTGCCCAGTAAATCAGAACCTGGTATATTCTTCTTTTCAGGGGCTGTAGCAAAGATGCACTGGCTGTGACACTTGATAGTTAATACCACTAAATGTTGCTTGTGAAATGAATGGGTAAATTACCAAGTTAAGGAAGAAAGGTATTCTGTTACTAGCGTCAAATGACACATAAAGCTCATTAATATCCGGAATGAATAAATCAGTAATAAGTGCTTTGTACAGTATAGTACTTTGCATAACCAAAGTGATTTATTAAATTGTAGTACTGCCTGAAGTTTTTGTGCGCAGGCATGCCTTGTTGTGCTAGGCAGCAGAGCTGATGCCTGGCCTTGCCTACTATGTACTATGTAAATAGGCAAGAAAGACAAAAGGTGAGAGATGGGAAGCTCTGCTTTAGCTGCATCCTATACACTGGGATTGACATGGAGATAGAGCTTCTTCCCAAGGTCACAGAATGTCATCTCTAAAAACTGCCCCCTCATCTCATTAGTATCAGTTGCCTAATAACCATTAGTTCTTTTTCTGTAGTTTATTTAATGTTCCTACAAACCAAGCGAATAAATATCAGTACTTGATATGTAAATGAGGTATTGTAGTAGAAGAGGTGGTACCTGGGCCATGATCTTTGGTTCATCTGGGGTTAGAAACTATATGTTGAGTGCTCACAGGTGGTATGTTTTGGAGCTGATCTAAAGCCAAGATGGATGCCCAGATCTTGTCAAGGAGGGAGTGTGCAAAAAATTGCCTGTCTGAAGTCAATTTGTGAGCACAGACATCTGGTTCTATGTCCAGTTCCTGGCAGGATCATTGCCAATGTTGCTGACTTTGACTTTTGAGAGAATGTGCTAGCTTGTCTTTTTTTGATATTTCTTTCTAGTTGGTAAGGAGTGAATGACTTGCTGCCTAACAGTGTCTCGGACAAAATGAGCTTTGAGGAAGAAGAGTGAAGTCTTTGCAGTCTTACATTGTCTTACTCATAATCAGGGTATTAGAGATGGAAGGAGACGAAATAAGTGTCTTGCTCTTAGCCCCACACTTGCTCCATTGTCCTGCGTCCTTCCTAGTGTTAACGATGAGAAGAGTGCTTAACACATATTTTATTGTCATAACCAAAAGTTTGCCTCTTTCTGCAGTTGTTCCTGAACGTGCACGCACATCTGTGTATATTTGGTGCCTGGTTGTGCTGGAGTAATGCATCTGCCCCCTGCTTTCTATTCTGCCATGTTCTGCAGTGGAGAGGATGCAAGTATTGTGTTGGCTGAGCTGGAGCAGGAGATGGCTAGGTCAGGACTGGAAACATTGGCAAAAGTTAAAAGATCGAATGCTTTGTAAGGCAAGGGCTGTTTAAAATGGTGGGTTTTTCATAATGACTTCAGTGCAGATTGTTGCTGTCAAGCATACCTCAGCAAAGGTACACGCTGTCTGAGGGATGGGACTTCATCGCCGGTAGAAGAACCCAGCTTTGCCTGGGTGGATCATATCAGCATTGCAAGAGGAAATTGAGCTGCACCAAATGAGCGCCATTACAGACCCAGGCTAATGTGCTGACCCTGCTGGTTCTATAGGTTATATAGGGTTTGTTGACTTCCTCAGGAGGTGACTAGTTGCTATTTGGAGCTTAAAGAGGCTCCCTGAAGGCAGGAAATCAGGCTCCGGTAAGAAGGGCTTCTTCAGGTGTTCAGTTTGTGGATAGCATGGGGATTAGTTCATTTTGAATGTTGTATACTGCACAGGAACTCGATAGAGCATTGGGAAAATAGTTATCTATTATGTCTTATACAAGCTCTTCTTTACAGCTTTCTCTTGCTTTTTTTATCCTAGTATCTTGAATTTTCGCCCTTGTAGAAATGCAGGATGCTGAGTTGTAGCCAGCAGCTGTTCAGTTATGATTTCGTTGTTAACAGTTTAAATTCATAAAGATTATCAAGTATTCCTGAAGTAATGTTGTGGTTTTGTGTGGAGACTCTGCCTTGAGGAAAGGGGATTTGTAAATCAAAGAAGGAGAGGTAGACTCTGTGTTTTTGGGAAAGGAAAAAGTATTCTCATCTTGAAAGTGATTGGTTTTGTCACACTGGATGAGGAGGAACTGTAGCAGGTAAAAAGAGATTAATGACGTCCTGAGCAATAAGTGCCAGTGAAAGGGGCCTTTCTTCCTTGTTGTAGGGGAGCTTTGTATGCGTAACTCCCTGACTTTCAAGATGAGTAGCTTTAATTAAATCTCTCCCCCTTGCTATGTATATCCAGAACTGTCATTTGCAGTAACAAAAATGCACAGAATTCATAATCGAAATTACCTTGTTTAAATTTCAATAAGTGTGGACAAGAAAGCTGCTATGCAGATCTCTTTAAACCATAATGTTCGCTCCTCAAAGGAGAGATTAAAAGAAGACACCCACTTTCTTGCATTTTTCCTTTTTATCCATTTTCTTTCCTCTGACTTTATGTTCATGTGTGATCCTTGGTGGCTTGTTCAGGAAGCTCTTTCTATACAGTTGTGCCTAGCTTGTTTTGCAAATTCACTGCACAGTCTGTCTAGGAACTGCCACCGCCAAGCATTTTTTGAAGCATTTGCTTCATTAGAGAAACTTAATTTGACTTTTATCTCTGTTTTCAAGTAGAGGAAGCCAAAGCACCAAGAGACTGAGGGATTAGCACAAGGTCATGCAACAAGCAGCCTGGCTCCTTGATGATGTAATGTTGATGTTGCTTGATATGCGGCTGATAAAAATGCAGAAAAGACTAATGCTTTTTGAAAATAATTCCATTTAGTGTCCTTATTTCTTCTTTCTTACACACCCATATGTATTTTCTCATCTCTGTTCAGTTATGTAATTTCTGTTACATTCCTTGTTGCCTGGATGGCGAGTGATCTCTTGCCTTGTAGTTGGAAATGTTGATCTTGGGTACAGGCAGGAAGAACTCAACAAAATGCAGCTCTGTTGTTGTTACTGGGAGCTCTCCGGCCTCTGCCATAGAGACTGAGATTGGGGCTTAATGGGGTTTCCTGCTTCATGTGGTGCTCAGTCACATTTTTACACTTGAAATTTGGAAATCTTGAATTACTTCCGTTGTATCAAAAAGTGAGTATTTGCACTATAATGATACAAGCTTTCATTTCTTAGTCTCTCATATGTACTTTCTGCCATGCTTAAACATGTAAATATTTAATATTGATTTAAATAGAATTGTTATTCTGTATGTCAAGTATAGAGAGAATAAAGCATTTTTAAAATTTGATTAAAGGTTTTTAATGCCTATATAACTTGTGAGATTCTAAACGCTTTACCTTTTTCAGGTCCATAATGTTTCCTTTGCTTTTGAGCTGATGCAAGATGGAGGACTGAAGAAACCAAAAGCTCGCCCTGAAGGTATGGACGTGCCGTGTGGCTTTAAACAGTATATAAAGACATAATAGCAGGTGCATTTCAAGTGCAACTCCATTTGAAGACAGTAGCAGTAGTGCCACAAAGTGGAGCTGTAAATGCGCCCCTTGACGGTTTTCCAAAGGATTCATTGTCTGTGTCTGGGGTATATCCTTACCTGTGTTTCGCGTCTGGAATAGATTCACTGAGGTGTACAAGTCTGGCTTTAGTGAATGATCCAAGAGCTGTTCCGTGTTATATTATAAATCTGGCTGGTATTCTCAATAACTATCCAAGCAGGAAGCTTTTCATGGTCTAATTCTCATAATTCTTACAGGTAGCGCTGTGATCAGATTTCAGTAACAGATAACTGAAAGGCTTTTGCTTTCTTTTGGAGAACCGGTAGCAAACTCTCTTCTTGATTTATGTGGACTTGGGAGTCAGAACTGAAAAGTGTAAAAACTGAGTTTTTCCTTTAAAGTCTCTGAACCTTGAAATTAATTAATGATGAGGTCTGCATTGTTGCTTGCACTAGGGATAAAAAGAGGAATTAAAACTTTATGGCTGCTAAGTGAGCAATTTTTATTCCTGGTGTTACAAACTACATATGTGTTAGAGGCTTCCACAGAACAAAGAAAAATGAGGAGCCCTGAAGAAATGTTCAGTCTGACTTAAAATGAGACAAAGTGGTGATAGTAAATAGATTAACAAATAGTGGAGCTGTCTATAGTGGGGGAAAAAAGGCAAAAGACAATATTAAACGCATATGTATCCTGTCAGTGCTGTTCTTTTAAATTTGGGGATGAAAAGTGCTCCTGAAGAATTCGGTGAAACAAGACACTGACTTGGGAAAGTAAAGGAGTGTTCTGAGTATTGGAGCTGAGTCAGTGGGTATATGAGGAGGACAAGGAAACTGGAGAAATACAAATGCACAATCAGGAATGGCAGCTTTTTCAGTGGAAGGGTTAAAGAGATTGCAGTAGGAGACCAGGTAAGCTAGATAAGTTTGTTTTGAGACAGAGAAAATGTTAAAAACCTAGGAGAAGACTTCTCCAGTTGAAAGCTTGTCCTTTTGTTTTGTTTTGTTTTGTTTTCATTGGTTGATCTAACAGAGGAGATTACCTTTCCATAAAGCTCTCTTATATCCTTACACTATCATGAGTGGTAGAACACTATAGCAGATCTTTTGTTTGCTCTGGACAAGGTGTGTAGATTCACTAAACAGCAGAATATGTTTAAGTGTTTACTGATTGAACATTTAATTATTAATAGAAGTTAGAGAGCCAGATTAGCTCATAGAACATTCCTTTTCGCATTTTGCTGCTGCAGGATGTACAGTCTCTTGTGTGTATTCCTCCCTCTTCTCTGTGGGTACCCATTCCCGGCAGCAGTAGTTCACAGCTCGTATGAGTGTCTGTGTGGAATTGCCTGTAAAACTGACTGTTGCTGTTGAAAAGCAGCTCCTGTGGAGAGTTCAGTAACATCTTGGGCTTTGCTTGTCACCGTAGTTTCATCGAATCCGCTGTAGGATCTTGACAGTCAGTACAGTCATGTAGTATGTGTTTCTTAGAACAAGAATTCATTTTGTCGTAGACTCTGATGCTCTGCAAAAAGTTTTGTGTATAGTATACTCTGTTAATGCCATACTGATCTGTTGTTCATTCCTAAATAAGCTGGAAAACCTGTTCGGTGAATCCATGTCCTTTAGCGTGAGTTGGATAGTTAATGCCTCTTGAATTAGTCGTAGGATTTTCCTGTAAAACGTTGTCTAGGGCAGAACATCATAATTTTTATTTCTATAGCCCATGCTTTCTGCAGCACTTGCAAGAAAGAGGTCTTGTTTAATATTTTAGTGTGTCTTTGTACAGGTGATAAACAAAAATAGGAGCATACAGGACAGCTCCTCTTCTCTGTTCTTCCAGCCCAGTTCAGTAGATTGAGCCAGCAGCAGAACTTGATGCTGAGTTATTGCAGCAAAAGTATGTTGTAGTGGATAAATTTGTTAGCCTCTAACGGGGTTGTTATGGAGTGTGAAAGTTTTAAATTAATGGAATATTTTAAACTATTCTGATGATTTATGGCCACTTTCAGTTAACATTTTATTAGTTGTTGTTGGTAATGTAATGACTGTGTATGCTTCATCTTAAAATAAGAAATGGGAGGCTGAGAATATGCTAATTCCTGGGAATGCCTGTTAGACACTGATCAATAAGGAACGCGGTAATCGCCCACACAGGGAGGATGCATCTCACACTACTGTACTCTTTAATGCAGGAAACAAAGGCATAACAAGGTCTGAAAGTTAGGAAAATGTCAAACTAGAATTACAGTATAACTTTTGCAACGGTGAAGGTAATTAATAATCAGTCTGAATTGTCAAGGGATGGAGGTGGAATTTCCGCCACTGGAAGATTTAAAAAGAAAAAAGAAGACAAAAAGCCATGCAATGTTAACCTTATTTTTTTTAATTCAACCACAGCTTGGTTACTAAGCTCAATACAGGATTTCCAAGGTAAAGTTCTCTAAGGACTGTGTTGTACATGACTATGTGACCACAATAGTTTCTTCTGACCCTAAATTTACATGCCATTGCACTGCCAAATAAAAGAGCTGGATCCATTCTTCTTTTAGTGGTGGGGCCCCCCCATACCTCTTATTCCTCACCAGGGGTGATCAGCAGCAGGTACCTAGCTCAAATTGCTATTGGAGATTAGTAGGAGTCAGCCTTAAATGCCTTCGTGAGGGCAGATGGATGGTGCCTGCCCAGCCCAGTGCTGCAGATTTGGGCCCCCTTCCAGCTTCTGCTTATGCTCTTTCTGGTGCCCTTAGCTCTTGCTCTGGCACGTCACTGCCTCTTACTCCCAGCTGCTCTCTCCTTGGGACGTGCCCTGGCTTCCTAACTGTCCTAGCTTCCAGCGATGTTTCTGCTCTACCCTCTAGATTTCTGTTTCTCTCCACTGGCACCTTGATCTTGGTTTATAGCATAGGCAGTTCCTGCCTCTGAACTGATGTCAGCCGGAGGCAGGAACTGGACCCAGCAAGACTTGATCACACTGCTTCGTGCCATGGCAGATGGGATGGAGGTTACGGTGGCTCAGGTAAAAGACCCATCCTGCTTTCAGTGGAAGGCTGAAGATGGGTGGCATGGGGAGAAGAAAACCGTTTGGGAGGAATGGGGCAAATATACACTAAAAATCTCTGACCACTACAGAGCTGACTGGGCCAGGTTTTTTGGCATTTTCTTAGTGCCAGCACTATTTGTTCAATTGTTTAGCAAGCAAAAGTGGCTGCCAGCATCAGTGGGTCAATTCTGCTGGTAGTTGTCTCTTCTCCAGTTCTTTGCCGTAATTTCCCAGCTTTAGAAATGCATGGCTGTTGCAAAGTGTTGTTTACGGTGGCTAAATTTACATTTTAAATTAATCTCTGAGGGAACTGGGTCTTGGTGCAGAGGAACCAATGCTGATTCTGGCTGTTACCTTACTGAGAATGCTATGGTAGTAGGCAACTTTCTATGGTGCCTGGAAAACTTAGAAATATTTCATATTTCAGTCATCCAGGTAAGACATCTCTTTTTTTCAGGGTGTGTTACTTCACAGCAGTTAGGACCTTTCCTTTCTTTGGGTCAGCAGAAGATTGTTTTGCAAATGCAAAATACAAAACCATAATGGATATATGTAAAATAATACAGGAAAGAGGTAGAAAGAAATGTTTGAGAGGTTACTGAAAACACCTCTGTTTGTGGGGGTTAGAGTGTGGGGGTTACAGTGTTATCCAGTATGGGGTGGGAGGGAAGGGTGGAGAGGTCCTGGCAATGATTCTTCAAAACAGGCAGTAGGTGTTTCCCCTGGACTTCACATTAATTGTACTTAGCCTGTTAACTGTTTGCTGTCTTCCTAGTTCTTTGAATGATTTTTTAATTATCTGTTCTTCCTTACTTCTGCTTCCATATATATTGTTTACTGTGTAGTTTTTGCTTCCTCCTCCTCCTTTCTTACATATTGTATCCAACCTTTCTTTCCACCTTTTCAGCCTTCTCTGTGCTATGCCTCCCCCCGTAGTCCCTGGATTACATGTCTGTGGTATTTCCTGGCATTTTATTATAGTAATCGGTTGGGAGGTGCTAGCAGAAAAGCTTTTTGTTGAGAACTGTTGCAGACCTGCTCCCTGGCCTAGCATGGTAAGAAAGGATATTAGATAACAGAAAGCTTTGAGTCTGTTAAGAGAATTCAGGCTTTGTTTATTCGTGGACTGTATCATTGCAGAGTTGTGGATGCGTGAGGTTCAGTATCTCATATGATGTGTGTGGCTACTTGTTTGCTGCTTCTGTGGCCAGTGAAGTCATCGGTAGTATTTCCCAAAGCCTTTATCCCAAGTCTCAGACAGAAGTAGACTTTCTCTGTAGCCAATTTTAGGTGAGGAAGGGAATAGTCTTTCTTCCATTTCCCAGAGAAGTTACCTGTGACTGTATTATTGTGAAGGGGTTTTGAAGTGCATTATATGGGATGTTTAAAAAGTTTGACTTGGGGAGATCAAAACTCTGTGGGGTGTTTTGTTGCTGATCCCACCGGGTCAGAGATGTGGGGACTTTTGTTCCTTTGAGGACAAACGAGGGAGAATGAAAAGCAAATTAAGGATTTCTCCTTTTCTTCCACAGATGTTGTCAACTTGGATCTGAAGTCTACCCTCAGGGTTCTGTACAACCTGTTCACAAAGTACAAGAACGTTGAATGATCCTGGAAGCTGCTGAGGTCTTCATCCTTCCAACCTCCTTAGGCAGAAATTACAATAAATACACCCTCTGCACGCTCCCTTTGTGCCTTATGCTATACTTCATGCACTCTTTCTACAGTTGATGTGGTCTCTCTGTAGCTGTTTGTATGACAATCCCACTGAAAATAATGCATGTGTATTCTCTAGTCTCTTGAAAATGTGTAGATATTTCACACTTTCACCAGAAGATACTGTTGAGTCTGTTGTTTGTTATCATCAACAAATGTTCTTTTGATAAAGGAAATATACCACTAACTAATAAGGAGGGAAAACATGAGACCTTCCTCATGGCTGGAGACTCCTTGATTCTATAATAGACTTTCTTTTGCATACTCCTTGGTTGCCACTGGCATTTGATGATTTACCAGGCTTAAGTGTTAGCAATAGGAAATCAGCATTGGAATTTACTTAGAAGCTGAGCCTTTTCTGTTAAATAAGTGTTTTTATGTTCTGTTGGGTGGGTGGGACTGAGAAGAATTACAGGCACTATGTGAAGCTAATGGCAAAAGCTTCAGTTTTTGTGTTAACCTCATACTACGCAGTGTTATTTCCATTCAGTGTTTACACAGAGTAAGTCTTGCAATGGGATGAACGGCTAATCTTTTGATGTCTATTTTTTATTTCATCTCCTTTCTAGGATAAATTTGGTTGCTAGAGCCACTGTCATCCATTAAGCATGCAGCTTCAATCAGGTCAGTCAGGAGCTGGTCAAATAGGTGCAGGATGGATTAATGCATTTTGCCCCCAGTCCTTTCTGAAACATACATGGGGAATAATGAGCTTGGCAGTTTAAAGGCTGACTCTTCATTTCACGTAGTTAAGTTAAAGGGTCAGATTCATTCCTGTTGGAGTTATTCCAGCTGTACAGTTCTGGGGGTCAGGCTTTTATAAACAGAGTTTTATGTATTTTCTTTCCTAAAGAGTAAAACTGAATTTCTGTATAAATAAGAGCTTGCCTTTACTTGTGGATCGCGCTGGGTTATGCGAGGCGTGGTATACATAGTGCAAGCCAATGGTTAGCACTCGAATGCGAAGCTCTTCAGTGAGCAGTTATGCTTTAAACTAATTTCATTGAGTTGTCCTGTGCCATCCCAAGAAATACTCTGCTAGGCTCTGGCCTAGTCTTTTAAGCTCTTATGGATTTTAGTGGGAATCTGTTTTAAAAAAAGATTGCTAGATTTATCTGGTAGAGTCTAGTTACCTCATAGTACTTAACAGGTTTCATCTGTGGAGCTGTTCCTGGCTGGTGATGTGCAGGTGTAGCGGTGTGTATAAGGAGGCTGTGCTGGAACATGAGCCATAGATTTTTGAGGTGAGCTGTGCAAAGGAAACGGGGATGTAATTTCCAGAGTAAATTATTTGTGGAATATGCATATAATAGCACTCCTTTCCTTTGAGTGCACAGGGGAGAGATTTGACTACTGCTTTTATGTATCACAGCAGCAACTTTTCTTTTGTGGGCAGCCATGATTTTGTACGAAACATTAGGCTTAGTGCCCCAAAGAGGAAGCGGGTGGCATTGCTCTGCGCCATGGGCTCGCTTGAGTCCTGTTGTAAGTAGGCATCTTTTTTCCCTAACAGTGGATTTCTTATGCCAAACTTTATTTACCTTTCTGAGTTCAAGAGGAAACTTGCTATTTGAATTGTATAATCCTAATTTTACAATTGGGATTCTCTCCTTCCCTCTTAAACGTTTATTTTAATCTCAGAGGGAGAGAAATGGTCTTCTGCTTCTTTGTTTCATATTTTTGGGTTCTGAGTTCTAGTATTTGATTTATTTGGGTCACCTTCTCTCATACCTTCAAAACAAAGATGGGAGGAAATTGCCCTTTCTTTCCATTAAAAATTCAGATCTCATCTACCCTAAAAGGTTCTGTGGGGATTCATTGCTTGTCTGTACTTTAGGAGGGAGCTGACCTCTCGCTGTTTATACAGAGCCTAGTACAATTGGACTTGAATTTCAGATGGGGCCACTAGACTTTACCATGACGCTAGCAATTATTACAGAGGAGACTTGCAGAGGCACTAAGGCCTGGTGGGTCAGCTCTCCTGGCAAGTTAATGAAATTGGTCTAACTTTTGTGCTGTGAAATAGGGGTATCATGAGGCTGGAAGGTGATTGAACTGAAAGGTCTTTCAAACTTTTAATTTAATGCAGTGTTCTTTGTGGGAAACAAGTCTGTTAAAGAGCTGTCATTCCATCCACCTCCCTTCAGCTGATGTGGAAATGCCAATGCTGTTTATATTCTCCGAGATGCTGGGAAAGACCTCCAGAGAAATCTAGTTTTTGAAATTGCAAGCAATATTAATATCAAAAGCAAAAGAAAGTAACAAGAGGAGATTGATAAGAGCAGTTTGGCTTTGGGGATGGCTGTTTCTGAGGTGGGGATTTACAGGTGGCATCCTCATTGCATGTGAGCAGATGTGAACATAACACCAAGTTTTAAGACAGTCTCTCTTTTGTTCAATTAGGTGTTTCTGGTCACTCTGCAGAAACCTGAGTCCCTCCTCTACAACCTGAGGCATGGGTCCCTTTTAGCATTCCTTTGATTAATATCCCTGTCAGTCAAGACTGCAGGCTTGATGCCCTGGACGGACTGGGGACAGGTGTCATACCCTGTTTTGTTAGGTTTTAAGTCTGCTGGTAAATGTTGCATACGGAAAATACATTTTTTGTCCCTTAGCTCCTTGCCGCCTAGCGAGGTCACTCTTCCTGCAGATGCTGTAATTATTGTTAACCAGATTTGGAGCAGGGTGGATTTAACTGAACTGGAGCTTCAAGCAATCCAGTTTACAGGAAGAGCAATGTAGGTAAAGCTCTAAACACCCGTTTTTGTCAAGCCTGTCTCTTACGTATGCATGATACTTACTTCTTTTCCTCTCAAAAAGATAAGTCAATGTTAAAAATGTTATTCATGAACTCTTTGTGTTACTGGAGTTTTAGACATGTTCCCTGGGTGCCAGTGGGGTAGATCTGAATCCTGTTGAGTTCATCTGGAATGCTGAATGCTTTGCAGCATTAAAGCTTCCACATTTGTAAGTACTTAATGAATGTCTGTCTTTTCCAGTCCATACAACTTGCCCTTTAGGTGCATCTGCTTGATGTACTCAGTTCCACTGAGCTATATTACCACAGAAGAAGCCCAGATACTCCTCAGCTGCATCCTGTTTCTCAAGATGAAAACTCAACAGTGCGAGATCTTTTTTAATCAGTTTAAACCTTCCCTACACCTCATTGCTTTCGGTATTAATGTATTTTTTAAGGCTCTTTTCTACTCTTTTTAACAGTGTTTACTCTGGATTTCTAACTACTAAAAACCAGCCTTGCAGATAAAATTCTGGACTTGTCATTTGCTGGAGACATCCAGCTTTGTGACAGAGTTGTGTACTGTAAGCAAGTTACAATGCAATGCTATGTTTGCTAAAAAAACCAGCAGGAGTGTTGTGCATGGTTTGTGACAGTTGTACTATTTATTCAAATAAATAAATGATGAACACTTGGTTTTCTACATCTTTTTTTGGCTAAATGGACAAGTCTGGGAAGAACTTTTGAAAGGTGGGCTTCAGCTGTCTTCTTCATCAAGGATCCTCGATATATGCTGATCTACGCAGACCTAGCAAGGCAGTGATCTCAGGTTTCTGGTGCTGGTACAGGTGATGAGATTGTATGGGCAGACACAAATAAGCTCTTCTGTAGGTTTCATCAGCCGCTTTTTTATTTTTTTAATATTACTAAGCTACTGGACCTGATCAACTTGTTTACCGTTTTCCTTCCACAAGAGAAAAGTAACTGAATTACACTCTCTGATACCGTTAGAAGACTTAGGGCCCAGTTCTCCTGCAGCAGCACAGGAGGGAAGCCTGGCATGCTGGAGCCAGTCCCATATGTGTCTACAGAGCACTTAGGAAGCCAGAAGCCCAAGTAAGTCTGGAGTGACATTGAAAATGCCTGTGTGCTTCCCTTTGCTCTGGTATAGAGAGAGCATAGGGTGGCTCTCCAATAAAGCAAGGCTGTGTGGAGAAGCAGGAAGATGCATTATTACAACTTGTTATTGGTGGGAGTGCTGTTGATTCCTTGAATTGTTCTTCAGTGGCTATTTTTATGTGAGGGCCAGGTGTGTGTGGGGGTGTGTGTGCGCATGAGGTGTGCTTTGGGAATGTACGGAAAGACTCTGGGGGGGGACATGGGCATGAAATCGCATGCAGCTCTGATACAGAATTTACTAGTGCTGTTCTACAGAAGACTGGATACTTCATGCACTGGTGGCACCATCAGTTTTTGGAGGAAAAAAGATGCTTGTCCATCACGTGTGTTTCAGACTTGCTCTTTTAGCACTGACGCGCTGTATTGTGAACACGGCTTTCAAGAAAAAAGTCCTTGGAGTTGCCAGTTGGAGTAGGGAGAGACCTAGTAATAACAGATGGGTTTCCCAACGTTTAATTCTTCCTGCTTCCTCTGCCTGCTGACATGAAACTGGATTTGTCCGAAGTTCCCAATAACATCTCCAACTATACCTTCCTTTTGTTTTTTACTTACTACATTTCTAGGCTGTGGCATGCTCTTCTGCATAGGTAAGAAGGTGCTCTGGGTCTTTGCTAATTTGATGTATTGTTGTGCTAGTTATCTGCTTAGAAAATACAGTTAACTTTGCCCTTCGATTAAGGATTTTGGGTTAAGTTCTCAGTTACTAAGAATTCATGGCAGCTTGAAATCTGTTTTCAACCCACTTTCCTTTACCCCATTTGGCTCATGCCGAACTATCTGTTCTTGTCTATGGCATGGAGCTAAACCCAGGAGTCAGTCCCTTAACAGCATTAAACCAGACCAGCTTAATTAGCGTGGCTGTCTACTGTCTCATTCGGGGATTTCATGGAGGACTGCAGAGTTGCTTTTGCTTTCCGAAGAGTTGACGAATGTAACTGGTACCTGAAGGAAATGTCCAGGGAAAGCCGTTGCTGTAGGGAGCTTTCCTTCTTTAATCAATGATGGAAAAGGGAAGGAAGAGCAGCAGCACTGCCCGGTGAAGATCACTCTTGTCTCAGATGAGCGTTTTGGGCCCTGGTGTGGCTAACTAGCTCTCTAAGGACAAATGAGTTAATCTCCGTCTGCCTAGGTTTCTCCTTTTACCTGGTAGGTAGAGTAGTCCTGATCTGCATTATAAAATGCTCAAAGGACCATGAGTAAAAGGTGTGATGCAGCATGATGATTTTGTCTGTTGTTGGCTGTTTTTTTATTATATTCAAAGAAAAAGTGCACTGTGAGTCGCCCTAAAGACGCAGACTAGCAAACA